TGGGCCTACGATGTTCAGTACATTCGTATTATAATATAGATAGATAAGCTTCAAAACATGAAATTTGGATTAACAAAATGGACTGCGCTTGAGTGAGAAAACGAGTAAAACCTATACACATATTCCAATCACATATATATAAAAAATTGTATTAAATATAAATTTTGAGCAGTGTGCATATAATATTTTTTATATTTTTAACAACAGCTTCTCCGCCATCGATTTATCAATTGCATCCGCATCATTAGGAGGATCAATAGAATGGTCAGTTCAAACTTCATACAATAGCAATGATCACTGGCCGATTACCTTAAAACTACTCAAATCCCAACCAACAGAAAAATCAACTCCCAAATAGCTCCTACGAAACCCAAACTGGTCCGCTTTCTCTAACACCGTCGACAACCTATTAACAACCAAACAATTCGATACCCTTCTCCAAACAAATCTTCCAACAGATATAGATAATATTGTTGAAACATTCTCAAACATTATTACCGAAGCCGCCGAATCCACAATTGGTAAAAGCCAATCTTCCTTTCAAAAAAAAAAAGTTCCCTGGTGGAACGAAACTTGTGAAACAGCAATCAAAAACTACAAAAAATCACTAAATCGGGGGGGGTCAATTTTGTACACTTTCATACTTTTATAATAAAGAAGTTTACATATTTTCGATTGTACGATTATTTATTTTTCGTTAAAAATGTCAATATAACATTCATTTTTAGCCTTTTAAATAATTATTACTTCATTTTACACTCAATATTTTTTTAGTGAATACAGCCTAAATGATAACGTAATTGATATTATTGTGATGATAATGTGGAGTATGCAATATCGCCGTATCAGTTATAACTTTCTGAAAGCAGAAAAACCACAAAAAATTATAAATGACAATAATAACAATATATTCGTAATTATACCTACTATATCTAGTAATAAAATAAAAAAATACATCAAATTGTATTTATCTTCTCCATTGACAGAAACCGTTTTAAAACTATTAAATATCTACTTTTATCATAATAGTCATGCAATTTCAAGGGGGGGGGGGTGGTTGAACCCCTAACCCCCACCACCTTGTACACGCACCTGGTGTTGGTAATTTGTTATCACCATAATTTAAGGTTTCCCGTAGACCATAATCGCCAATATTGTATTCCTATCATTTTGCATTATTTTGGATATAAGAATTAATAGTGTTAAAAATACTTTTATTCCTTTGCTTTTTNAAGTATAGGTAAAAAAATTAGTTTTAATTTTGGCGCGTGTTTCGTACACATCGATCTGATTAAACACTCTCCCATCCACTGAAAGATGTGGATGGTTAGATCACTTTCTTTTTTTTAGTCGTTTTTGTTACATAATTAAATGTGTCACTCCTGGTTGGGTTAACCTTGAAAATACTTAATAAAAACGTTTGTAGTAGTAGAAATATCTTTCAGGATCTATAACACAAAACCCATAGAAACCATCTCAGTATCCCCTCCGTGGAACATGAAGCAGATTGAAGCCAACAAAGAACTTACCATATTTAACAAAAAAGATACACCCTATAATCTGATAACTAATACTTTCAACGAAAAAATAAACAATGAATTCAATAATTACATTCACTACTACACAGATGCTTCTAAAACAGCAAATGATATCGGCTTCGCCATCACTCACTCTGAAGACAACAATCTCTATAAAATCGCCCCTTTCTCCAGTATATACTCTGCAGAAACCTTTGCCATACTAGAAGCTATAACCATCTCACTCTCTACTAACCATGACAAAGTCCTCATATTAAGTGACTCTCTTAGTGCAATCACCTCCATATCCAACATACATACAAAATGTAACCTCGCCCGAAACATCCAAAATACTATCCTCACAAACCCCAAAACAATCAAACTCATGTGGGTCCCATCACACATCGGCATTCCCGGTAATGAACGTGCCGACAAATTGGCAATAGAAGCAATAAGATCTCCGGACACCAAATTATACTCACATGTAACATATGAGGATGTAATCCATGTCCTAAAAATCAAATGTTACTCTCTATGGCAAAATATATGGGATACACAAACTAATCAAAACAACAAATTTAAGCAAATAAAACTCATGTGGGTCCCATTACACATCGGCATTCCAGGTAATGAACGTGCCGACAAATTGGCAATGGAAGCAGCAAGATCTCCGGACTCCAAATTATACTCACATGTAACATACGAGGATGTAATCATCCATGCCCTAAAAATCAAATGTTACTCTCTATGGCAAAATATATGGGATACACAAACTAATCAAAACAACAAATTTAAGCAAATAAAACTCACAACAAAAATATGGCCAGATCCACTAATTAAACTAACACGTCACGAGGAAATCATGATAACCCGAGTAAGCGTTGGGTACACCAAACTCACACATTCTCACTTGTTGCGTAAGGAGCCCAAATCCAGGTGTGAAACGTGCCTCAACGAACTCATCGTCAAACATATATTCCTAGAATGCCCCAACTACCAGAACGCTCGAATGAAATCAAATTTAAACACAAGCTCACTCAAAGAAGCATTCAACTATGGAGAAGAAAAAAGAATTTTAGACTTCATCAAGATAGCCGATCTCGCATCGAACATCTAAAACAATGGAGCATATATACATAAATTAATTTTGTAAACCACTGTAGGTTAATAAATGATGTATTTGAAGCCTTAAATAAATAAATAAAAAAAATAATAATAATAATACATTTAATAAAATATTTTTATTTTCATTAGGTAAATAAAAGTATCTAATTGGTACAAAAATATCACCTTCATCTCTGTCACAGCATAATATCCAGACTTTATTATGACCACAAGCAAGAATACTTGTTTTCTGAAATACTAATTCATCACATTGGTTTGTTGGACATTTCTTTGCACATAATTTTTTACATTTGTGTCCACAAACTAATGTCCGTTCACAATTTTGAGTGCAGTCTTTACGTGTTGGATTCAAATAACATTCAACTGTAGATGTATGTCCACAATCGGGAATAATCTTGTCTACCTTAAAATGAAATTTTTACAATAAATACTTATTGACTGATCATATACAATAATTAACTAACTTTTATTTGACATGGTTGACAAATTTCATAACATAAACTTGTACACTTATGATTACACAACAAAATACGATCACATAAACGATAACATTTAATGTCTTTATCATTTAATCCACAAGGAGAATTTGTTTTCTCATGTCCACAAGCAAGAACTCTATTAATTCTTACAGTGCAAGTTGAACAATCTTCATAACATAACTTCAGACATTTGTGGTTTAATGTACAGTTTTCATTAGTATTTTCACAAGGTTTTAAGCATTTATACTGTGAAAATGATTTAAAATATTAGTAAAAATAAGATATTATAACTGGCTACCTAAGATTTAAAAAATAAATCACATTTTCGTGATCCGGGTCATCGTTTTTGTGACAATTTCGTTCACATGCATGTCCACAATCTAACCGATCAAAACATTTAAATGTACAGTTTGGGTTTTTTTCATGACATTTATGAATGATTTTATGGCCACATTTTTCCAATTCTGTTTCAACCTATTTTAATAAATATTTCACTTGCAATTATTGCAATATAAAAATAAATATGTTATATTCATAAATAATCAATTACCATTTTATCGCAAGAAAATGTATTCGTATCAACAGAACATTGTAATGATGATTGATGACCGCATGGTAGATCTTTTAACATCATTACATTGCACTGTCCACAATCCTCAAAACATTTTTTCATACATAGATGGTTGTAATTACAACTTCTGTGATAAACATATATATATTTAGCTATTAAGTTATACATGGTACAAAAAAATATCCTCACTAGTTTTGAAAGTATATAAAAAAATAACAATACAATATATATATATTTAACAACATAGGAAATGGATATTTTGTTTCAAAAAAATGTTATTTTTTATTGTCTATACATTGCTCTAAGTGAAATGATAAGTTTCGCATAACTCTTTTAAGCAATTCCTGAGTTAAACAGTAAAATTTTTTGTAAATAACTTTTTTTAAAACTTCTAGAATCCTAGTTTGATAATTATAAACCTCAGATAAACATAACCTCACAGAAAAAAAAACAAGATGTCAAATCTGGGGAGCATGCAGGTCACAAATATTACCTCCCATAGAAATGAACTGTCTGTAAAACATTTGTTTCAATACTGACTGTCTTTAAAGTTTTTTACTCACAATATAATTAATTTCAGATACAAAACTGCTCAATCAGGAGATATTTTAAAACAAGAATATGTTGTGTTTTAATGTTATTGTGTGGCGTTATATTAGATGTTCCTATTTACCCCAACTTTCTGGTCAATAGGAACACTTTAATAAAATATGTTTTGAACTTTCAACTACAACGTCTACACATATTGTTTATATCTAGGCTTTCCAAAACAATTTATGCTATACATCATCTATGACCTCACAATTTTCAAAAAACTATTAAAATTGTTCCTCCTATTCACCCCATTCATTTTGTGGTACATGAAGTTGAGTTCCATCATCCCATTGGATTGGTTTTAAGTAAATATGGTGTGGAACTGAGTATTACAGTTATTGTTTAATACTAAATAAAACCTTTAACCAGTAACTAGCAGTAAATATATAAAACCAAAATCTATAAACAATTAAACTGTTAAATGTTTTTTTTACTGGCATTGCTTCTGAAAAATATAATTACTTGATAACAAATTTTTTTTCTATCGGTTTTTGAGATAAGGTACATTAGAATGTTATTCATAGGTGCTCTAGGTAGTTATTATTTATAAAATATATTATAGTTTACCTGTTACAAGGGTCTCTACATTTCATTTCTGAATGTTCAAGGTCATAAGAATGACATATACTTTTACAATAATGACCGCATGATAGCAATGTTGTACACAACATGCTACAACCACCTTCCATAAGTAAATTAAAATCTTCACTTTTTGAAACCTTTGTGGTGATTCCAATGTGAACTGCACACTCTAAAGTCAATTCGTCACCTTAAATCAGACCATTTATGAGTAAATATTAATGTAAAAGAAAAATATAATTACAAAACACAATTACCATATGAATCCTGACTAACTAACGATTCTTTAATTTGTTTCCACAAATCACCAGAATTATACAAGTTGTCCATATTTCCCATTATGTAAAGTCCATATTTTGCTCTTGATAAAGCAACACATATTCTGTTTTCAGTTTTCAAAAATCCTACATTTTTGTTTTCATTACTTCTGACTAAGGACAGTAATATAATATCACTTTCCTCGCCTTGATAATTATCAACCACTGTAATTTTCATATCTTGTAATATAGAATGTTTTTTTCTTAGCTAAAAATGTTAAAATTGATAAACTAATATGGTCGTTGTTCAATAAAACTTATTAATATTGTGATGAGTTGACTTACAGAGCGAAGTAAGAATAGTTGGCCACTATAAGTTGTTAAAATAGTCACTTGTTCAGTTTTGTAACCTTGTAAAAGTAAATGTCGAGCAAACATAATCAAAAATTTAGCTTCATGTTCATTACTCTTACTAGAAATTTCTTGAACCTAAAAAAAAAAAAACAACTTATAGTCATTATTATAGCTAGAGGCCAGATTTATATTCTCTTACAATCCACAAAAACGCACTTCAAAACATCAAAAAATCTCTGAAAAAAGTATTTACAAACATTTCTAATAATTTCTTTTAAATAAAATCGTACATATTGTGAAAAAAAATTACTTTTTATTAATCATTTTTGTGTTAGAAAATTGTATTTATAAATTAAATCAGTTAGAGGGGGAACTATTAAAACCCTCTATTATTTTTGCATTTATACATATTTTAAGTGATTTTTTTTATGGGTTTTAAGAACATATAAATCCGGTCTCTAATTATAACTAAGGCATAGAAAATAATGTAACATACTTCGTTTTCATACTCATTATGATTAAGGAAAAATAAATCCTTAGTAACACCGCGCACATTCTCCCTATTGAAAACTGAACTATGATTTTTCAAATTTGGGTAGATAATTGGAGATATAAGTTTTGATATTTCAGGACGCATTCTATGCTGTTCGCCTAATGTGTAACAAGGTACATCATTATTTACCATACGTTCAAACAATGAAATGTCAAAATTATAATGCTTTGCCAAATTATACACTGCATTACTAGGACGCAATTGTTTATGATCCCCTGCATAATGAAAAAGAAATAGCTAACAATTTATAAACATGAATTATTTTACTAATTAGGGTTAATAAATACATGCCTATCAATATTAGATGTTGACAGTATTTAGTTAGAGATGAAACAATGTGTGCTTCTAAAACTTCAGCTGCTTCCTCAACTACCACTAAAAATACAAATTTATTTCAAAATGTTAACTTAAAATAAACATATTAAAAATTAGAATTCATACCAATTGGTGACTCTAGACCTTCAAGCATTATTCTATGTTTAGCTGCACCTGTAGTGGTTAATGCTATGATGTGCATCTTATTAAAAATTTCAATATTTTCTAACTGTCTTAGTTCTGCATATTGTTTATAAACCTGAATATATTTTTGTTCATAATCCAATATTTTTGGTTCAAACATGTCATTCGTCTCGTTTACCCAATTAAAATACAATGCCCATCTTTGTCTCATATTTAACATACTCAAGTTGATTGATCTTGGCAGATCTATATCAACATTAACTAAACTCAACATATCCATAAAATAATCATGTATCTTTTTCATTATATCAAAATTTAACTTTGCTATTTCATATTCATCAAAGCATTTTATATTGAATTCAGATTCTTTCTGTAATCGAATTGTCTCCAAGAGAAGGTCGTTGCATGCATTTTTAATGTCATCTAAAGTAATACTATACATCACAATATCATTATGAAAATATTCTAAGTCTGGGTCATCACCTACATATCCTTGTACGTCATCATTTTCATCAGTAACCTGTTTAATTTCTAACAAATTTTCTGAATAAATTATCTTATTAATCAATTCATAATTAGATTTTATAAATCTGATTGGATCTACATTAAAGTAGTTGCGATCTTGAAATAACCATGAAAGAAGATCCAAAGTAGTTTCAAAAAACTTATGATATTTTTTAGGCATACCATTTTTTAGTAATGATAGCTCTAAAATACCAGCATTATAGGAAAAAACTTCCTTACATCTTTTTAAATATTTGATTTCCGCCATACAATTTTTCATTTGATCTCCAACATTTCTTAGTGCTACATTAATAGTGGCAGATCTTCTATGCATATGTGTAATTTTCTTCAAACTATAATTTTCTAATAATTTAGATTTTGATTGACCACCAATTCTAACAATTTTATTTGTAAAACTTAATATACCTTCTGTAAATTGATCTAAAGCATGATTTGTATAACAAACAACTAAAATCGGTTTGGTAAGAATTGAACAATTAGTTGTGAAGAACGATGTTTTATTGTAAGTAACATTTGAATATAAATTATTAATAAGAGTTTTCATTATTTTTAATCCAATGAATGTTTTCCCTGTACCAGGAGGACCCTGAATAATTGTAAATTCATTTGTCAATGCTGCTTTGAAGGCTTTATATTGCAATTCATCAAGCTGTAGTTGTTCTTTATTAGGCCAATAGTCATTATCCAGAATATGGAAAGGTCTCACATCGTCAATTGAATATTTTTGATTTGGTATTTGTTCGATATAGTATGGGTAATCTATTTCTTTACAAGCTGAAATTATATATTTCTCCATAGGAAAATTATCACTACTAAAGGTTTTGAGCACTTCCATAGAGCATTTATATGGTTCAAAAAATATTTCACTTTCTACCATCATAAGAGAAGTAGCATATTTTGGTTTTTTATTATTTAATAACTCCACAATTAATTTTCCTTGATTTAAAAGTTCAATTTTACGTTCCAATACAACACCCAAAAAAAAAGTTTTAAATTCATTTACAGTAAATAACAATAAAGAGCCATACATAAATCTTTTTGACATTTCCCAATTTACTTTCAATTTATTTTTCTTATTAAAGTTTATTACATAACCAAATTTATCGTAAACAAACTCACCTCTAGTTTCAAATTCGACATCGTGATATACGTGAATATTATTAATTTTTTTTCTAGGTTGATTTTGTTGTTTATTGTTTGTCATTTCTTTATAGAAATTAATTCCTTCACGTAATGGACCAATAAAATCTTCACGTAAGAGACGAAACTGTACATCTAAATAGTGTTCCACGTTCTGATAGGCTCCTTTCAATATATTTGGTCGTAAAAAAGGTTTTTGAAATTCCAAATCATCAGAGGTTGGAAAAACTGTTAAGTCTCTAAAATTTTGTGGTGGAGGATAATTTTGAGCAATATTATCAAATAATGATTTTTCTTTCAATTTCAATTCATCAGTAATTTTTATACTGCTTAATTTTTGTAATAGTTCATGCATATTATTCATTGAATTTTCATTTATTTTAATATTATTACAATAAGTTTTGATACCATTTAATGCAATATTACAACTTACAACTATATCTTTTAATCTTTCAACAGCAGTTTTCGGAAATAAAGTTGTAATAGATTGAAAAACCACTAAACAATCATCAAAAAATGCACTCAGTTTTTCATGCTGGTGTTTTTTTTCTGTCGGTGTAGTGATTATATATTTGTTTAGATGGTCAAAAAAAGTAGAACAAGTAAGTTCTGTTAATAAAGTTAGTTTACTCTGTTGGAATTCTGTATTACAAATCTTGGCAGAAACTTTCATAAGTAAAAATATCCAATCTGGTTCTTTATTTTGTTTAAACAAATCCATAAAACCATTACTTCTATTAGACATCACAAATATAATTTCAGATGGTTCTTTATTACATAATTCTTCAAGACGCTTAAATCCAAAAACAAACTGTTTTATTTCTTTACCTGAACTATATTTATTATTGCAAGTACTAAAATTGTAATTTTTTTCCAATGAATCATGTTTATCATTCCATTGCTCTTGTTTATTAATTGAACTTGTTCTCCATTGTTCTCGCGGATTATGATTACTTGAATTTGCATTATTATTATTACTTTGGTCATAAAGGCTTTTATGTTTATTATTTGATTTTTTATTTTCTCTGTCCATGATTAGCCACTTTACATTTGTATTCTGGTAAAAAAGAAAATGTACATAAAAACATATTATTTACAATGTATAAATAACAATCACAGAAAGTAAACATATTTGTGTATGTTAAGAATGCTTATAAGAATACCCTAAAGGCGATATTCAAGACATTTTGTGTCATGTCCACAGATATGAAAATGTCAACTGACCATTGTAACCCACATGAAGTTAAAATTATCTTAACTCTGGAAATTTCTCAGTAAGTCTTACTTATTTAATGTTACCAAGGTAGAGTCAAACAGAATATTACAAATGGCAAAAGATGTTACTGGAATACTGCTTTAATTATGGCCAAAAATGATAAGAAAAAACTGTCGTTTTGAACGTATTCAGCGTGTTGTGATACTCAATATATCACACATTAGTCGAATAAATCATAAAAAAAAAAAATCACATGACATTCAATAATGGATAATTTATGTATACCTTCCTCTAAAACAGAAGGGCATTCTTATAGTGTGTAACCAACAAATCAATGGTGACCTATGAAGTTATTTTTCATGTATCTAAATGTGATAAACACAAATTAATAACAAATAATAAGTAGGTATATTTTATACATATTTAAATACAAAATAATAAATTCTAATTTCTATTGAAATTATAATAGATTTTGGGTCAATGAAAATAAAATGTATAGTTTTTATATCATTTAAAAAAATTTAATACATCTAAAAATAAATTATTATTTTTATGAATTTTGGATCTATACCGTAATTTGATTAAGTACTTTGATAATTTTGGACATTAAAGAGTTTTAAAGGAAGATTGTAAGTCACACAGTGAAATGATGATAACTTACTACGTAAGTCACAAAACTACAATAGAAATGTTGCCGAAGGCCACACGCTAAAAGATTGCCAACAGAAGCAATGCTTTTAATATAGTGTAACGTTTACTATTCTTGTTCCACTATAATATATTTTTTATTGAATTTCAAACATTAATAAAATTCTTACATTTGTATAGAAGATTTAAAGTCAAATATATAATTATTAACAATAATTTAACCTCTGACTGAAATAAACCAGTGTCATAATAGAAATCATATAACTAAATTATATTAAACTAGGCTTGGTGTGTATCCATATTAGTATCTATTACCCACACAAAGAGTATTGAATCTGCTAGACATTTAAAATGGGTAGCAAATTTGAATGCAACAAAGGAAATAATAATGAATCTTAAAAGTAAACCACTCTAATACTACTCACTAACTGAATTGAATTATCAAAGGTTTAAAAAATTGAATGATAAAAAAAAATTGTAGAAATAGAAAACCATCTAATAATGAGACCCCAATACAAATTATAAGACCATTACTAGTGGGGCATTCAAAAAAATTGTTTTTTTAAAAAAAACCGATTTTGTAAGCTTTTGTGTAATACAGTTTAAATTCTTTAAATTCTTCCTGGTTTTGTTCAAATGTAGGTGCAATCATTTACTCTTTTACTCAAAATTCCAAATAAGTAATTACTTATTGTAACTATCAACCTGCAATTTATTGTACAGAAAACTTTAATAATAATAATTGCATAATTACAATATAACCATATGAAAGTAAAAAAATACAATTATAATATACAATTTTAATTCTCGCTAATTACATTGAACGTAGATAATATAAATAAAACTTACATTTTATAGTAGTATAAATTTATATAATTTTTATAAATTTAACATATAAATAACGCGTAACATTTACAGTTTAAGGTCAACGATCAATTATATTGAATAATGTAGATTAAAACATAAAATATAAATGTTAGAAATAACAAATATACATTTAATAGAATATTACAATATCAAATGTGAAATGATCCGGTGATTAGCGTAAGTTTCAAATTCACACATGGACAAAGACATTCTTTGTTCAATGCGAAATACCAAACAGATATCTATTATTTGCTACCCAGTACTAACCTAACCATTAAATTGCGTCTTAAATTCAATGCTTAAATTGCGACTTTACCATAGAGTAGTACCAACGACCATTGGCTATATAATACGGTCTACTCTATAATTAATGTTTGAATTAGTCGTTACACAACAGTGTCGCCAGGCGTATAAACTTTGAGATTAGTATACGAACATTTGGAAATGTTTGATATTTTTACAAGACATTACAAAAAAATATTATACACAATGATAATTTGTATATTTGTATCCTATTTATTCTTGTAAATAATAAACAAAATAACAATTTTGTTGCATGGCTGTTTTTCATCAAAGCTGCTACATGATTTACATTATATGACTATTTTTAGACAAAAATCTCATTATTAATCGAAATACCGAGTGAGGAAAGTAATCATGGGCTGAGGCCATAGATGTGAACAATTGATTATCGACTATAGACAAATAAATAATATGGACTGCGCTAAGAGAGAGAAATCTAAAGTCAACACGTAGTGAGAGAGAGAATAAAAATAATAGTAATGGGAATAATCCCATAATAATGATTTCGATAATCGAGTGATTCACTCGATTAAAATAATCGAAATATTGTACCTAATCGAATAGATTAAGATCGTTATCAAATCGATAAACATTTTGATTTTCATAATCGAGTGATTTATTCGATGTACATAATCGAGTAGATAAGAATCACTCAATATATCGTGAAAATTCATACTATTTTAGATTCTGAGCAGTAACACTCATTGTTCATTAAATCTACAACATTCTTTAAACCCTTTAAATTAGTCGTATTTCCGTAAAACTTTAATTCTTTTTTACAGATTTGACGATTAACTACGCTTTTATCGGCATTTTTTTAAAAATGCTCCCACACTACATAACGTTTATGACTGCCTGGTCGCATTTTAAAATTTAAAAATGTATTTTGAATTTTTTACGATACGCGGACGGTTTCAATAAATGGAACAAACGATACAATAAAATGTACCCTAAATAAGGGTCATTCAGTTATTTATATAATAGTTAAATATTATATGATACGTGTGTGATCAAAATTAGAATAGCAATAGCAAATTAGAAACTGCCTATTTCATTTATAATTCTAGAATCATCTAGAAATGATTATAATGATCTACGTAGCATTTGCGCATAATAGTTGGGCTATGGGTTATTTTATTTTGATTCATGTTGTATATTATTATACTTTGCGTGAGATAAGAACGTCATAGTACAGGCACGCCGCTGTTTTGAATGTTTTGATACACCGTCCGCGATAGGAAAATAGTAATATCGGTAATATTAGTTATTAGTAGTCAATAAAATAGTAGAAAGAAATATGAATGATTACTGATAATGTTTCGAGTAATCATCAACTACTAAATTACTAAACTAGTAAATATAAAAATAGCAACTACTAATTAGTAATTTCTAATTTTTCATTAGATTATTTTTCTAATAATCGAATTACTCGATACATTCAAATAATCGAGTTACTCGATTATTTTCTCTCGATTATTCCAATCACTAAAAAAGACACCTACCATGGAGTAAATGATGCATTATTATTGAGTATTTACTATTTACTATTTAGTTAGAAAATGAACAGTCAGTGGTTTTTTGTTCTACGTGGAATGTAGTCTGTCCAGTGGCGGCGTGAACAATTTTAGTTCATGAGGCAAACATAAGTGTTAGAGGTTCACCACCACCACCTTAGTATTATTATACAGAGTCTTAAGGACGAAGCCCCCACACACCACCCCATCTCTTCACCAATTTACCATTCTGTAACTACATGATTTAAGTGATTCATAGTGGTTTTATATTTTATGAATATCAAAAATTAATAAAAAGGTGGATCCACCTTGTTGATTATATTATATTATCTGTGGACTGCGACTTTAAATTGTACAAATATATTATAAAAAATAAATAAATATTATAGTCTATAATACCTTATTTGTATTACGTTTATACGTTTTTTTTTAAAATGATATTATTATAATCTAATTATGTTGTAATTTCAATTTGGTATATATACTTATAATATACATTTTATTGTGAAATAATGATGTTTGATACTTAGGTTAATATTTTATTGGGAAACTGTTATTAAATATTTTGTTTTTCAGAGTAAACTATATGGTTCTAATAATAATATTTCGATGCGAGTTAAGATTATTTACGTTTGAATAAGTAATATGTTAATAAAAGCTGATACAGTTTGTTTGATATAAATTGTCACTAGTTAGAAGCCTAGGGAGCGAAGGGTAGTTTTATATTTATTGGGCTGGTTATAATTATGCCCAACCCTAATAAATATTGAAATGAAATGTGGGAAAAAAAAGTCAATTTATTGTATTATAATTAGTTACATTAAGTGTTATTAGTTATATTATTAATTCTATAATAATGGCAATAGCATTTTATACTTTTATAATAGTATTGAATGTATTCAATTTCAATATACATGTATAGAACAATTTTTTAATATTGATTGTATAATATGTATTTTTTTTGTTTTTATTTTTAATAAAAACTTTTTTCAACTTATTTTTAACTTCAGTAACTTTTCTGGTGGGAAAAACAAAAAATTAAAAGTACAAAGTATACAGATTGTCTTTTTTTTCTGATTACTATTGAAATGATGTCCCTGTATTGGTGTTGTAAAAAAATTCCTCCTCCACCCCCCCCCCTAGATCTTTACTCTGGATCCATGCCTGAAATACAGTTATTATTATCATCTTTTGTTTATAATATTAATAGCTAAATATAACGTAATTTAATTTACTGATGGTCTATGGAAGCCGGCATAGGCATGTGTACATGGGTGTGCCACGTGTGCCATGGCACATCCCGTGCCTTTGCAGTGTTGAAAACGAAATTGACTTTATTCTGGGTTTTATTTAATTAAATACTAACCTATTTGGCATAAAAAATTGTCATAATGTAACCAATAAATCAAATCGACCGGCAATCATTTACTGTGATATTACTTATCACTGCCTTGGGACCAGGGCTTGAAAATAATAATTTCCCGAAAATTTTCCCGTTTTCAGATACGTTTTATTTCAATCATTATGAAAACCACTTAAAAATCAAATATATATCATATGTGAGTATCATTTGTGTGGCGATATGGCGCGCGGCGTCTTAATAATGTACCCACTATACTCTCCCTCAACCCAAACCTAAATGTGGAATATCTCGTTTACGGCTTGACAGAAATCAAAAATTTCAACACCAGAATTTATTTTAACTGGGTAATACTCCATGGATATTTACGGATTTTTAAATACAGGTTCCCATTTAAAAATCAAAAGTAGGTAGTGGTTTTACCCTCAAAAATATGGGTAGAAAAAAAAATTACGTAAATATGAAATTGTAGAGCTGCTTGTTTCTAAATGTCCTAGAAAACAAATTCTGAAAAAAGTTAATACTTTCCGAGATAACGAGTGTACTCACTAAAATGGATCACCGGTAAGGTTATCATCCAAGTTTTCTTATACTATCTACCAGTTACCACGAAATAATTAAGTTATATAATTAGCTATCGTTATGGTTATTTATTCTATTCAAGTGCAATATATTTTTCAAAGTTATCATATGACGGGTACGTTTTCTTTTTTAAAATACAAAATTCTCTTCGTATTGTGATTTTTACCATTAATAAATAAATACGTTTACAATATTGTATTGATAATAATTTTAATACACTGAGTTGTTCAATCTTACCTGTTGTATAGTTACAAGTTACATTACTCATTATTAAACTTAATAGGTAGGTACATTTTAATTTTTAATGAAAATATGAATTCAACTCACGAGTTGAGGTTAAATTTAAAAAATGTATTATAAGGAGATTGGATACCTACCCATAATTTATTTATTTCGGATTTGAATGCAGCTTAAAATTAACATGAGATTGTTCAGGCCACTTTTTTAAATTTAATTTTAGTCTTCTACAATATATTTTTATAATTTTCAAATCAAACTTTTAGAAATTAAAGAAATTAGTCTAGATAGCTATGATGCGTAGGTATGTGTTGGATAAAGAAAGAAAATATTGATATCAAATCTCCTTAAGATAGTATAAGACCTATGTTTTCTTCGCAAAATTAATAATTATCCTTGTATTAGATATGCATATTTTAGTGATGTTTAATAATATATATATATATATTACAAAAGTAAGAAAATCTTAGTTAGTTTCATTTTTACTTAACTTTTAGCACGCCTATTTGTTATTGATGGAACTTAAATCGATGACCTATTGCAACAATATAATCAAAGAAGTGGACACATTTTTATTCAATATGCCTGTTGAATATTCTTTGGGACACTGTGTGGCCAGAGACATGCGTATGAGTTCCGGTATCGCCGTCTATTTCAAGTTAGTAGTGAAATATCAACCGTAATTATTATTTTCAAGTGTATGTATACTAAATTACAGGTCTATTTTTGGGAGGGTTGGCGAATTGATGGACCAAAGACCTAATGTTGGTAATGTTGCTTATTTACAACAAAATGATAGATTTATTTATTATTTGATAACAAAGAATATTAGTACCCAGAAACCAAATTATAATACTATAACTGCGGCCATTAAAAAATTACGAGATTTTGTCGTAGTACACGGTGTTAAAAAATTAGCTATACCGCGTATCGGTTGTGGTCTTGATAAATTGGACTGGCTTCTAGTAAAAGAAATCATTGGTCGTATGTTTAAAGATGTTGGTTGTAAGATCAAAGTTTGTCATTTCACACAAGTAAGTTAAATTCAAATTTGATTGTGTTAAATATTTTTAATCTAGCTAAAATCGAACCAATGGTTTAATTTCTAAATAGAGCTTGACTGAAGAAAAGCTATCACTTAAAATAAATCATCCAAAAGTTATAAGATGGTTTCAAAGCATCAACGATATAGATAAGCGAGAATTTGAAAAATTAAACTTTATATTATTTTCTCATCAAACTACTTCTACGGCATATTGGGATCATCGTTTTCAAGTAGTCAATGAAAAATATCGCTTTAAATCACAATATTTTAAAGATTATGAAGCAAATCTTGAAGTTGGTCAATGTTTGCATTACGATACAACAGAAGCTCATGTATACATCATCGTTATAAATGAAAATTCAACAGATCTATTTTCTTATCGAAATTTAGAAAAAGGACTTAATAAAATAACCAATATGATAGAAAACATTCAATGGCACCCAACATTCATAGTGCAGAAAATGAATACTCAAATGGATCAAACAATATCTGAAGATTTAATTAACGAAAAAGTTATATCCTTAATTAGTTCTACATTTTTAATATTAACTCCATGTGTAATTATTGAAATTTGATAATTATTATATGGTTTAGAATTAAGAAATTTTTAAACTTAAGGAAAACTTTTCAATTTCACTCGCTGGATGTTGTTTATTACATCTAGACAATTGTGTTTTAAAACATGATACTGAAATATTAAGTATAAACACTTTATAAAATTGAGTTGTAATCTTAATGTATGTATTTTGATAATTTGCTGTTAGTAGTTCAGTGTATATTTTATTAAATAAATTATATTGATTGTGGTAAACTAATATTTTATATTATCACACCTACTTAGTTTTAGGTTTTATTTTCTATTTTTAATATTATTTAATTACCTCTATGTGAGCCCTATGACATTAATTAAAATTAAAAACAGACAAACTTCACACGATAAATGTGCCAATGTTGTAGGTAGGAATTTATGAAGGTAAATGGGAAATTTAATTTATATCTATACATAAAGATTAATTATTACTAGTGAAAATGATTCTGAGCAGAGTTCGATTATACATGTTTTGAAAAGTCTTAATATTTACAATTTGAAAATAATAAATTTTGTAAATTTTCTTGTTTTTTTCTATTTATTAGGAAAACTACTGAGAAAATTAAAAAATGACCTCCCCAAAATACTACCCCAGTCAGATTTCCTTTCAGAAAGTGTTTCACTTGAAAATCTGAGCAAAATATCTGGTAGGAAAATTGTTCACATATATAAATGTTATTGTAAAACCAATACATCTTCACTCCACTCAGAATCTACAATTAAATGAATGAAACAGGTTGATAACTGATAACTTATGAGTAGATAATAATGGTTTGGAAGATTGTCAACAATTAAAAAATTATGTTATGCAATATAAAATATGTGAATGATTGAGATTCAAAAAAGATGTTATTTACAAAACAATAAATATTAAGCTTTGATTTGAATTGAGTATAGGTCTGTTTATTAACTGTTTTCAAACAATGAATGTATATTTAGAACACCGAATAAGAGAAATAAAATCTTATTTCGTGGTTTTAAATTGTATTACACTATTTTGTTTTTCATTGATATTTATTTATTACTGTAAACCATTTTACAGGGTTACCACCAATGTGTTTTACTTAAAATAGTGGATAAAATGACTAAAATTTATAAAAAAGTGACCAAAAAGAGAATTACTTATATATTTCAATAAAACAAGTTTCATAAGATTTAGTTTAATTTATAAATATGTTATTATAATTTTGCATAAGATGAATTGTATAATATGTATTGACATAACAGGGGACTTAATCATAGAATTGTAGTAAGATGATAACATACCATTTTTAAATTTAGGTAGAATAGATAGATACTTAAATTATTAAATTACAAGTAGGTACCAACTCAAAGAATTGATTATTTTTCATCTTGACAAAATTGAAAAATACAAATTTCTATGGAAACTTTTTATTTATTCTTGATAACATAATGTGTTAACAAAATATATTAATTATTTAAATATAAAAAACTACCTAAAAAGGTTACAAATAACATTTGGTTGACCAACCAGCGATTTATAACAATGTTACAATTAAGATTAAAGATATTTATTAACTTAAATATAATTTAGTTCAGTTGTTATGCAAAAAAAAATATATATCACTTTTTGTAGAACAATAAATCAAAAAATATTTGGAAAAAATTATTATAAATAGTTTGAAAAAATCTACGGCAAATTCAAAATGAAAAAGTGAATTTTAAGTGACTTGGAAAAAAAAAAATAAAGAGATATTTAGTTGAAAAGTGATTGAGTGGCAACCCTGATTTTAACATAAATATACATAATATAACAATAAGTTAGATACATGGTTGCAGAGCTCCCCTTTTAAAAATATAATGCTTGTGCTGAAAGGGAGTTTGATTAAAAATGAAAGTTATAAGTTATTAGCAATCCTATTGATATAATATACATACTAATAATTATTGAAATGAGTGGTAAAATACAATTTTCATGAAAAGTATACATAATGAATTAATACATGAAAATATGTCTAAAGTTAGTGTACACTAAATATGTTCAAATTTTAACTTAATAATACATTTCTTAAATGAGGCAGTTATGAAAAGAGTAAAGATTAATGATTAAAGATTTACGTAATTTGGTACATTTATTAATTCAACTTTGTTGTCCTAATACAGTATTTGATTTATAAAAATTGTACTTCCTGTAAGATATTTATGTTTAGTCTCTCATAGAGAATGTTTAGATTTTTACATAGTAAATAAAAGGCTTTGGTAAATATATTAAATTCTGAATATAAAGCATATGATGGATAAAATCTTTCTTGCACAAGATTAATTTTATAAGACTATTTTCAGTGGTAATTAAAGATTTTTAAATTATTAATATTGGCAATTTTATTGCTATTTACTAGTGGGGGGAGAGAAGTTGGAAATGAGAAATCTCGAGTATCAAATAATATTTCATTATTTATAAAAACTTAAATAATTCATGAATATAAAATATTTGTATTTATCATATAAAACCAATATACCTACTTTATCATCCTTCCAGAAATACAATATTATTATTCAAATAATTCCAGGTTTTTTGGTAATAAATAATTATTATTGATTACTACCCATCACTACTATAAATATTATCATCTTGACAGGTTGTATACATTCAAATTAACAACGTTTACTTGAAAATATTACAAGAACTCAATCTACCTTTTTATGTATGTATGTAAGCTTCAAATGACTAAATGATTTCATTAAATAGTTACTTACTTTAGGCCTTGGATTAGGACATAGGGGACATTTATTACAGAAAAATCACTTTTATTTAGATGAACTTGGGTAACTAGTTAAAAATACAAATATAGAATTACAAAAATCAAACATTTACCAACAAACCAACTATAATGTTAATAGTTAGGTATGTTTACCTGTATTAACAAAGGATAGAGATAATTTTGTGATGTAGCCCAGATTAAACTATTTTAAAAATAAGATTATATTTATATATCAATTTGTATCAGGTTATTTTGTAAAATATATTATAATAAACATATACATTTGTATAAATAATTGTTATAAATGATTTTACATACATATCGTACATAGAATATTATTTTATGTCGCTAGAGGATTAGCATGTATCGTAATGTACTGAATTTTTACATCTGTCAACGGCTTAAAATTTTTTGAATTTACTGGTAGTTTTTCTAGTTCTTCTAGAGCTTCAAATCCATCAATGACCCTAAACACAAAATAACCTTTATATTATCATTTGCAACTATTACATAGTAAAAAATTAAAACATAACATAATCTAAAGCAGTTTCGTTCTCAGGAATTTCTAATGCCGGAGGAGGGGTGGGTAATTTCCAGGAAAATTTGTATGATGCTATCAACGTACACTCCTCTAGTTATGACGTTTAATATTAAGTTAATAATTATAATATAAAAAAAATAACAATATAAAATTGAATGCACTTTTTATTTTTAATAATTTCTCTTTTTGGGTGCAATAATTATATTTGTATTGTAATTGTAAATATGAACTATACATTGTGACAATGAACTTTTACATCCCTTCCAAGATTTAAAATAGACAGTATTTTGCTTAAGTATTAATTTCATAGAATTATTAAAAAAGAAATTTAGACAACTGCCCGTATGAGGGCAACCAGGGTATGGAGGTAGGAAATCAGGTAGAAGTTTAATACGAGTGTGGTTGGGATAAAGGCAAAGAAAAAGAGCAACAAATAATTATACATTACCTTCCGAATACTGTGTATTTTAAATCTAGATTAGGTTGCGGAGCATAGGTAATGAAGAACTGGCTACTGTTAGTGTTAGGTCCATTATTTGCCATGGATACAATCCCTCGTTCTTTATGCTAGGATTGGAATAAAAATATATTACTTAGGAAATAACCCAAGATCTGATAAAATATGTACTTACTTTTAAATTTTCTTTAAACTCATCCTCAAACTTACGACCCCAAATTGAAGAACCTCCTTTACCTGTGTGCGTTGGATCACCAGTTTGAACCATAAACCCTTTTATATTACGGTGAAATAAACATCCATTGTAATAGTCACTGGCACACAATGCTAAGAAGTTCTGATCACAACATTAATATAATATCAGGAATTAACGAATTACTTATATAATGCTTACCTCAGTGGTTTTTGGACATTCTTCACAGAATACTTCAATTTTTATGTCACCAACATCTGTATGTAAAGTGACAGCCTTCATTAACAAAACCAAACAATTATGATAAGTAGATAGTTATTTTTATTGGTACTTAAAAAAAAATCTCTAAAATTGAAAAGCATTCAAAATATTGGTGTTGTCAAACATTATTTTTCAAACAAATTTCTAAAATTTAAAATCTAATTGAAAATTGAATATATAACATTATTTTTTATAATATTTAAATTAGGATTAGTACAAGATAATAAATGGGAAAATAATGTATGACATGCATGTTGGTTACGCAAGCAAGAAAGAGCATAGTGATAAATTCTTAGATTACTGAAGTCCAACCAATTTTAACGGTAAACCGTTTTAAATTTCAAAAAATTATTTTCAATAATTTAAATAAGATTCATTTAATAAAAAAGCTATTGGTAATTGGTTGTTATATGAACTATATTTTGTATGATTTAGAGATTAAGTATTTTAATTTATGTTAAATATTATAAATTATATTGTATACTAACTTATTTACCTGACCACAAGTTCAGCTTAATGAGGAGAGTTAAAATAATAACACATATAATACACAATTTTTATTTAAATGTAATAGGTATATTACTTTGTAAAAAAAAAAAAAATAGTTGTGTAATGATCAATGCAAACAAAACAATATCATTACTTACTGTTTATAATTATTAGTTATCTAAGCAGGTACTCACCATAATATACAAACAGTGAACCGACTCTTGATTTATACCTAGTCTAAATAAATAAAGAAAAAGTTTGTTCACAATTTATAACAGATATTTTATAATTTCATAATTTGATTGAATTGTCTACAATATTAATTAATAATTACATAGGTAATAGATATTGTAATAACAAACTTTATGAAAGTTAATTTTAATTTTGAACCTGAACTTAACTGTATGATAAGATAGAAGACAGAAGTAATGATGCTTTGAAATGTGATAAAAGGTGATAACATAATATTATCAATAATAAATCATAAATTATTCTATATCCACCCCTAGAATTTAGATATTGTCTAAGTCCATCTGTATATCAGTTTTTAAAACGATGACATAAATTTGTAAATATTGTTTATTTATTCATGGTAAATATTACAATTATTTACAAATTACAATAGAAATTTTAAAAATATTTTTTAAATTACTAATTTCTGAAAGAAAAAATAATAATTTTTTTTATAAGTTTATAATGGTCACATAAACTGTTAACAACCGTCATTTTATTCCAATCGGTTAAATAGTGACTGAATAAGAAAAAAGTAACTTTTTTTCTCAAAGTCTTGTTTACTCTCTTTAATAAAACGACTACCTGGCTTGATCTGTGAATTATTTTTTGTTGGCGACATTAAATTATAAAATCTTAATCTTAAACTTCACGAAAAAAGCAGCTTAGGTATTATGCCCAGTCTACTCGATATCATAAAATTACATGTTATGAACTGCATTTGTATAATTTTTCCAAAATTTGGTATTCATACAGTGTTATGTTAGTACTTAATTAATTTTATTATTTGAAAATCATGTACCTACCAATAATTTATTACACATTATGTTTTCGAAAAGCTGGGGCTGATGCAAAAATATAATTAGCAATAAACAAGTGATGTCACTAGGGGATTTGGCATTTGAATAATAATTCGATTAATATTTTCAACAAATTTGTATATTTTAAAACATAAAAATATATATTACATTATTGTATACTTTGTAATAATTAATACAATCATTATTAATAAACACAACAATCTTACTAGGAATGTTTAATACTGTTTATTATAAGCACGTACTATTATGTATAGACTCGGCGTTAAAAAACTACAAAAACATCACAATTTCACTTCAGCCTTGATGATTTCTTCTGGTCTTTTGTCGCCAAGTGTATATATTTTATACATGTTATAATATAATAATTGAAGTCCATTATATTTTATATTGTCAACGTTATCGTGTTATTTATTGCGGACAGTTTGTGTCGCAGTAAACAACCCAATCTTAACTTAAGATAATAATTAATAAAATAATTTACATGATATTAAAGTCAAAAAAGATATTTAAGATATAATAAATATAATTATTTAAAATACTAAATTTGAAAATGAAATACCATTTGTAAGATAAAATATGTAATAATAGAAATAGAATAAAAAGGAATTAAGTATACTATAATAAGTAGGTAAGTATCATTTAGTTCGAGACTTGTGTCGTCTTTGAGCCAGCTGACTTAAAACTACCGGTCCTAGGTTAGGGGTCGGTGGTGACTGGCTTACTGCCCGATAAGTTGCTTCCATTGCTCCCTAAAACCAAATCATGGAAATTTAATAGACATTCTAAATACAATAATAGGTAATAATATTATGTTTGGTTATTTTGACAACCTTTATCTTATACGATTCCTGCAACTGTATCTGATGCGTTGGCAACTTTTCTCTGTTCATTATCCATGGACTTAAAAGAATCTGACATGCTGTTGGCCTTTGATGGGGATCGATGTGTAACATTCTTTTCACTAAATCCTTAAATATATATATACATATATATAAAAAAAAAGTTGTACTGCCAAAGGGTGTGTCACTGCGATAAGTATGAAGTTCAGAAGGTAGGATAACGAAATATGATTCTGAGCAAGCTAGTTTACACAAGTATTGAAATGCTATAAGTATGATTTATATCAAAATTTAAATTTAAAATGCATATAAATATAAATTATAACATGACACTCAATTTTTTAATTAATCATCAAATACAATTTATGATGAACTGAGTGTTAAATTTTTAAATATTTTGGTTTTACATCTTATTCTCCTTCACGTTCATCCCAACTATTTGGGATTGATGATCCTTGTTATAAATGTCCATTTGACCATATTTCCCAGATGGCATACACTGACTATCCTTATACAATTCTCAATCGCAATTAACTATCTCTTTTTCAGTCTTTTTTTCCGCCTATTTCAGCTTATGTCTATTATCCATTAAAATGCTTACTGTTTCAGATTTCTCTCTACCCATAACATACTTAAATCATCTGTTTTTTTTCTCTCATTTTGCTAACTATAACATGCCTAAGCTACTTCTTGTGTACTCATCCCTTATTCTATCTTCTCTAGTCCATTTAAGCATTGTCATCTTTGCTACACTAATTCTCTGTTCTATTTTTCTGTGTACCGCCTAACGCTCAAACCATACAACATGGTCAGTCTCATCATACTTTTATAGAACTTGAATTTTGAAAAAAAAAAAATATTTGAAAAACAAAATTCAAACTTTTAGTGCTGTAAAACACCACTTATGTTTGACCATTAAACGATTTTCAGGTTTTCCTTTCTAATATGAAACATGCTTAAAAATTCAAAAAATGACCAAAATTCACAATGTTACAAAAAAGCTTTTCATTTTTTGATTGGAGCAAGATTTCTGGTAGAGAAGTTAATTCACACACAAAAAATAAAATAAAATCACTGTTGTAGTAAAACATAGTTGTACAAATGCTACATTCAGAATCAAAAATTAATATATATATGGATATAAAATTGTTTGTAACACAAATTATTACTTTAGCTTCAGTTGACACTACTGACCAATTGCCAGATTTAAGATCTAGATTACTGTTGCCAATACGATTTAATATTTCAGTAGGAGTATCTTCAGGACCACTAGCAAATGGAGTACGTCTGTGAGGAAAGTATAAAAATTAGTAATTTGATCAAGTTCACTACAATAATGATTCAATGAGATTTACCCAGCTAGTAATGTATACAGTAGTATGCCCAATGACCAGATATCACAAGCAGCATCATAACCTTGTCTTTTCAGTACCTCGGGAGCTACAAAGTTAGCAGTGTAACAAGGTGTCATCAAAAGACCGTTCTCGGCGCGTAACTGTTTGGCAAAACCAAAATCACATATTCTTAAAGCGTCAGGCGTAGCACTATCAGTGGCATAAAGAATGTTTGATGGTTTTAAATCTCTATGTACAACCTAGTAAATAATTTAAAGCCATTTTTTTAGTCTTCACTATATAGCTATATGTAGACACAAAATAACAAACAATAACTTACTCCATTTTTATGTAAATAACATACAGTTGAGGCGACAACTTGTATTATGGCACTGGTTTCTCTTTCTGAAAAATATTTCAATTTATAAAGTCTGTCGAGTAATTCACCACCTCTCATGTATTCCATCACTAAATAGACAGATTTATCATCTTCATAAACCTGTTCATAATAATAATAAAAATAATGAGTACTTAATAAATAAATAAATCCAACAAATTAATAATTAATAATTGTTTAAACTAACATCTCTTAATGTTACTATATTGTTGTGATGTCCATAGCGTAGAAGTATTTCTACTTCTTCTTGGCAGTCTTTTTTGAATTTATCAATTATCTAGAAAATAAGAGAATTAAATTATAGGTTAATGAAAAAACTATCAACATATGACAGCAATGAATGAACTCACCTTAACTGCATACTCAATATGGGTAGTTTTATGAACACATAATCTGCAAGAAGAATAACTACCATGACCAATTTCATGTTTAAAATCGTATTCATCAGCAGCATTTCTTTTAGCGTAAGGTAACTAGATAGTAAAATAAATTAAAATTGTCTGTAATGTATTTAATACACAAAAATAAAAATTAACAATTACCTTTGAATACGATTCAGTTGGTTTAGTTGGCATGTGTGATGGTTGTACATTGACTATACCTTCCTCATCAATTAAACAAGGAGCAACAAAACTGAATCCTCGGAATAGCTCGTGAGCATTAGCACTCGGTGGGACACATGGAGAATCTAAAATGATGCGATTATATTTTTGAGCCATTTAAGAATAATTAATTTCAATTTAAACCTTTAGGAGATTTAGAAGTGAATTCACTGTCAAAATAAAATGCATCATCGGCTCTGCTAACAGCTGGCTTGAATGGTGGATGAATTTCTTTATGATAAAGTTGATCCCAATTAATAGACACAAAAAATGCATGATCTTTAAGTTCTTGAATACCAGCTGGATAAAAGGTAATAATGTTTTAATAAATGTCAATAAAATTAACAGGTTTCTTTTTTTACTCACTAGCTCCTAGGCGGTTAGTAGGGTTTCTTTTGAAAAGCACACGTAATAAGGCTTGAGCTTCATGTGACAAAAATTGTGGCATACCAAGTTTGGCGCGTAATATTTGAGACATTGTTTCTTTGCGATTTGCTCCTTGGAAAGGCAATGATCCAGTCAACATTTCATACTAGTCAATAGACAAAATGATATTTTTGGGTTTGTCTATGATAATTATTGCACAATTTACCATCAATACTCCGAATGACCACCAATCGGCTACAAAAGAATGACCTTTACGGTTTACTACTTCTGGGGCCATATATTCAACGGTTCCACAGAAAGAATATGCTTTTTGATCATCTAATGGTAATTTACTAAGACCAAAATCAGTTAATGATATATGACCATCAGCATCTAGTAATATGCTAAAATAAAATACAGTAAATAAATTTTTAATGTTTAATCCATAACCAGCTAGATAAGTCTAGACATTTTTTAACATTTACTTTTCAGGTTTCAAATCTCTATAGATAATTCCAAGGCTATGTATGTGATCAAGAGCTAAAGCCAACTCTGCTAAATAAAATTTAACATCTTCTTCTGTAAACATAACCTAAAACATAATAATTGCACTTCATAAGTCAAAATACCAACTTTTCCTCTTACAATAAACATTATACATTAATTTGTAGTTTGGTAACTTTAGGAGCTACCTTACAAGCATTTAAAGCTTATGTGTTGATTTGAAAGGTTGATGGAAATTAGTAATGTATAATGTATATTAGTAGTATAATATATAAGAGTAAAACAAAACAAACCTCTTTTGAAAGTCTTGTAAAAAGATCTCCACCGCGTAAAAAATCCAATATAAGGTAAAGTTTACCTTCAGTCTGAAAAGCATAGTGTAATCGGACTATGAATGGATGTCGAACATCAACTAATATATTACGCTCCATTTTCGTTCTTATTCTATCCCTCACTAAAATAATTATATTTGTATTAATTAGGTATATTATATAGTAAATATTAAATAGTTTAAATAATAATTACCTTTAAGAGTTGCTTTTTTTAAAACTTTCATTGCATAAAGTGTACCATTATCTGGGCCAACAATTTTTCGAACCAAAAAAACCTAAAATAAAAAAAACAATTTAAACATTTTTTTAATGTATTTTAATAAAACTAGAAACAAACCTTTCCAAACGATCCTTGTCCGAGAACTTTTAATAGTTCAAATTGAGACCGATCTGCTCTCTCATGACCCTCTTTTATGAGTTCTTTGAGTTCAATTTCATGACCGCTATTCTCATCAGAATCATTATGATTATCATCTTGATCATCTTCTAATTCTTCAACAATTTCATCTTCATTATTGTCCCGTCTAATGCCTATCCTACTGTGGAAACTCGAGGAATTGGACTTATTACTGAATGGTATTGGTTTTGATTTTGAAGTACCGACAACCATAGTGTTAGTGTTCACTAGATTCTAAAACAATAAACGACAATATTCACTAAAAAAAAAGTTAAATAAATAAAAAGTTTTGGTAACAGGAATTTTAAAAACAAAATAATTATGGACAAATAATTGAGAAAAAATGCTTATTGAGTAGCAAGACAAATTAAGCATGCGACTAATGTCAAAGCCTGTTAAAGTGTCCTGTGTATATATATTTAGATAGAAACTACTTTGAAAGATTAAGAAACCACCTAATAGCAATTATCAAAGAAGCCATTATAATTATGACACATATCTAATCCATGATATTTTCTTATTATAGGTACTGGAAACAAATTATTTATCATTTGACAATAATAGTAAATAATTTAATGTTAAAAAAAAATACACATTAGACATGTATAAGTGTATAATTAATTACGAAATTAATAACATTACACAATAATATCGAACATAAATCAGGCAAGTGTACAATGTACATAAACAAGAATATATTAATCTGTTAAGTGAATGATTATTTGTTCAAGTTTATTCACACATTTCTTAGTAATTATAATCAGCAAGAGACAAGAAAAACATATTGAACGTATTGTTTTGAGATAGCCAACCATAAAAATCTAACAATACATTGTTTTTTTCAACAAATAAGGTAAAAGTGAATACAAATTAAATATTTCTCAAACTTCTCAAAATTATAAATGCAACATTTTCTAAAAGAACGAATATTTTTTAAATTATCTTGACTGTAATTCGATGTACAGAAAAACAATATTATCAAAGCGATAACATTACCTACACACATTTTATGAGTAGGTTTGGTTCTCGGTTTCATGGATAGGTATCTGTAAAATAAATACCTAGTGATAAATTGAGCATGTTAGTACCTGATATCTACGGACTTTAATTCCAAATAATAATATAATATAGGCAATAATAATTGACGAATGGACCAACAACGGGTTGAGAAGTAAACAAAATATTAAATTAATACTTCGCCATCTACCAAGGCAATACCAAGACACCACGGTGTAAAATAAAAGATACTGGGTTTCTTGATTGAATGAAATTCACGACAGTTACATAATTGGCATAATATTATAACGAGATACCTATATGAATACAAATCTATGAGGTAAATAATATTGTGCAAGTAAATAAGTATGATAATATTTAAATTTCTCAATTTGCAACTGTTGTTATATAATAAACAATAAATAAATAATGTACCTAGGTATTTTTGTCAAACCTCGAGAATTTTGGACTTTTTAAAAATATATCTATTATGGGTACCTAATAAGAGTACGATTTTCACATTATTAATTATTTATAGATAGGGGCCAATGGAAACTACGCGGAAATAATTAATCCGTATTAATTCGATAACATCCGGTCAGCGGATTACTTTAATTTTTACCCGACAGAATATCGCGCACATCGGTTTTTGGTTTCTTCGAGTCAAACGAGTTATACCGGGTGTTAGACACTAACTACATGAGGCGTTTTTCAACGGACGATTTGCCCCAGAGGCGCCGCGAGACGGACACAGACAGACACAACACGCGACGTCAACCGAGTGGCGATAATAACATAATAGTATAGCACGTATCGCATCACTTACGTGGGGGGGTTCGGTTTGCAGCGAGACCCGTTTCCAAGGATCGACCGAATCTCCGAGACCGGCAAGTGGCATTACTACTAACGGTCCGCCGTCCGTGATACAGTGACAATAATATTAAACAGTCTCGTCTGAGAAGGGGTAGGTGCACAATAAACGATTTCGACTAAAAAACACCGAGGACGACGTCAGCTGCAGCGAACGGAAGTGCGGCGGGGTCTTAATCGGTCGGTTCGCATGAGTGACAGAGAAGATCGGACGAGCGGACTGACGACGACGACGTCGGCGGCGGCGGTGGCGGCGGTGGCGGTGACACATCAATCGATTCGCGAACAGCGGCGGCGACGACGGGCATTTTACCGCGGTGTATAATGAATCCGACAAGTACAGAGCGCCGGCGACGACGGTGGGGCAGAGCGATTAAAGCCGCGGCGGCGGACACGAGTCATCGGGTACGCGGGGACCGGCGATCTCGAAACCGAGCGATAAGTTTACGTCCGTCTCCGCGCGTAATCGAGTCGGTATCGGTGTGCTCGGCGGCGGTGGAAGTGGCGTCCCCGGAGCGCGACGACGGTGATAATAACAATAATGCAACGATGATAATACCAGTTTATCACGGTACTATTTACGTAATAATAATAATATCACGATTCGTGACAGGTGTTTTCCGCGGCGGCGCGCGCGTACAGTGTGCCGGACGGCCGCGGCGCGTAAAAACGGTTTAGCGGAAACGGCCGCCGCGTCGACGTCGTCCCGGGAAAGGCCTTCGCCGCGAGTCGTGCACGGCCGCCGCCGGTTCGGTGGCGACGAAGGTTGTTCGTTTTCTTTTATAATCGGGTCGCGCGTGTTATTATTATTATTATTATTATTATTATGTTTATGGCGTCGTCGTCCGCATCCGCCCCCTCTCCGGCGAACAAAAAAAAAAAAAACTACGCCGACTTTGTGAGAAATTATTATTATTATTTTTTTATTTCCGGCCGGTAACCAAGTCGGTTCACGTGCAAACGTCGTGCCGTCAGATTTCTATCGCGGGCCTTGTATATTTTTTTCCCCTTCCACGGAGGAGGACCGCGAATCGTGGACGACGGCGACAACTGCGACGACAACACCGACACCCGAACAACACCGGCCGTGCGCGTGTTTACAGACCCTATACGATTTCGGCCCGAAACACATCCGTAATCTATGTGGATTTAAGAGTTTTTTTTTTAAAACCCGGTCTGTTTGTCCGTACGAACCCGACGTACTTATGGCTCCAGAGAAATCGGCGTTCCAAGTGTAAACCTAAGACTGCCAGGTCGATAAAAAGTCACTGCGGGTTTCAACGAAAGTACACTGGGAAATGGGAAACCACGACCTATCTGTTAGTCCGAATATTATAATGCCCCGCCCCGATATCGGGAACCGTTGTAGGTTACCTTCTGTATCTTTTTAAGCATGTTTTATAATCAACGGTAGTACCTATATGATTTCAAGTAGGTACGGGCCTCTCACGATGTTCGGTCAATTGGTCGCGAAAAATGTATCGTGGCTGCAAACTGGTCGCCAGAAAAAAAAATAAATAAAATATATAATAGTTTACATACTTCTCTCCGGTTTATATTGCACAATTATTATTATTAATAAAATAATTTGTTTGTTTTTGGTTCATTTCCATGTAGCTTGGGTCAGAAAAACTATTACAAAAAATAATATACACAATTATATTGTAATATTATAATAATAATATGTACGTTAATCATAATATGAAATTTATCGATAAAAAAAAAAAAATTGTTAAATGTTGAATGTTATGGACTATTTCATCTGAAAAATCTGTTTATCTATCTCTACTTGCACAGTCGTCGCATGTTTGTGTAATTCGTGATTGCTTATCGATGATGTGAAAATCCGATTTATTTTAGAATGTCCTGACAAGCTATTCGAGTTTTATATTAGTTATAACAACTTTAATATAATAATAATAATAATAATAATAATAATAATAATAATAATAATAATAATAATAATAATAATAATAATATAATAACAATTTTGAAAATATCGGCACAGGAGAAAAACCAATAAAATGTATAATAACAAATTATTTATAAAATTTTAATAAAAACATTATTTTATCGTATAAACTAGGGAAAAGTATACAAACCAATGTATAATTTATTTTTATATATTTTTTTTTTTTAGCGATCAATTTAACCGGCGACTAATTTACAACCGCGGTCAATTCAACGGCGATCCACCTCACAGGGATTTTAGGCGCGGGGCCCTGGTGTAATGAAACCAGGAATGGTCAAACCGGGGAGGGATGTAGGGGATATATCTCCCCCATTACCTAATTTGTCTTAATTATGTATAATGATATACGGGGTGATAATTTTAGACAGCGAACACTCGTTTACCATAAACATTTATGAGATCGAATAAATTTAATAATAATACGCTTTGAATTGTCGAAAAATAAAAATTTCAATTAATAGATACTCGTACTACACGCACTAATATAATGTAACAAATTATATAATCGAAATTATCAGTCACACTGTTCATTAGTATACTAATAACAAAGGCACAAGTATACGAAAAAATATACATACAATACGGTCAGTGTGGTCAATGTGTTACAATATGGGTACTTACGGGTACTGGCAAGTTTTTAGGCACTGTACAACTTTACTGTTGTCTGTGAAAATATTCCGCGGGCGAAGAGTCACAAACAATTGTTGATATTATGGATGTAGAATACAACATAGGATACGGTTGCTACACAAACTGTTGACGTTCCTATATGCCCAGTAAAAATAGCACGTGTAATCTACGTTTACAATTAGAATGGTATTGGCTTTCATATATACCTATACGCAGTTGATGTTTGTGTATAAAATATTAATATACGACATCTTGAATTTATTTCCAGTGTATCGTACGCGTACGCTGTACTACTAGCTGTCCCGCGCCCGGCGTTGCCCGTGCCAATTGGTATTTTATATATTTTTTTTTTACCCGTATATTCGTTATTTGGTCAGAATTGAATGGAAACATTTAGGGTGGAAAGTCGGTTAAAGTGTTCTACTGTGAAATTTTAATAGTGTAAATAATAGTAGTAATTATAATTATAATAGTTTTCTCATCCGTGACAATCAAATTATCATCAGTATCACCAAAGTAACCCTCGAACAAACAAAAATAAATAAATGAACAATTAGATATTCGTACCAAATACACCTGAAAACCTCTGTTTTACCCCCTCGGGGGTTGAGTTTTCAAAAATCCTTTCTTAGCGGATGCCTACGTCATAACAGCTATCTGTGTGCGAAAATTTCAGCCCGATCTGTCCAGTAGTTTGGGCTAGGCGATGATGAATCAGTCAAGACAAGTTAATTTATACATACGTATAATACTGTTTCAACCAAGGTTAAATTTAGTTATATGCCGGATATTAGCTATTATTTAAAACAAAATTAAAACCAAACAATTAACGAATTAACATTTTTTCTTTCTTTTTTGCTCATCAGTATTTCGAAACGAGTTTTCGGTTTTCACGCTAGCCTAGGGACGCTATTCTAACCTGTTTACACCAAGAAAATGCCTCCTCTTACATAGTGCTGTCCTAGGAGTAAGCCTGTGTTGTCACTTGTACAATGATTTTCGTCTGTACTGATTCCTAGAGGTGGCATATAATAGCTAGCACTGCTGTTTACCAATAGCAGCAGTAGGCTGTTAATCAAATGTAATAATAGCTGCTATTATTTTTTTCGTGTCATAGTCGTGATACCTTGCTAAACTGTTTATGCCTTTTCAGTAAACCGTTATTATCTGTTATATACTACCTGGCTACTATTTGAAATTAGCTACTACTGAAACCATGTTGTAGCAATGTAGCACATTGGCGTAGCTAGGATTTATCAATAGGGAGGCAGAAGCAAGGTTTAGAAGCGTCTAGAGAGTTTGGTGGTCTAAAACCTTCTTTACCTTACCCATAAGTAAAAAAAAAAACATTTGGGGGAATGCTAAAAATCCAAATCCTCCCCCTAGCTATGCCGCAGGTGTAGCTTGAAGATCATTGGAAAAAAAAAAAATAATAACAATGTAGTCTGTTATTGTTACTGTTTATAACCCCGCCATCCATTGCCGCCATTATTATTGTAACTATTCGGGACGAAATATTACTATTTAATTTTAACCATTCTATTAGCAGTTTACCGGTACCAGGTTCCAGTCTAGAGGTCGGGAACCTTTTCGTGTAAATGAACCATTTTTTAAAAATATTTCTATACCATGATTTCCAAAGAGCCGCAATGGTTAAGATAAAAAAAAAAAATATACCATAGTACAAAAAACTACTAATACATTTTGTTAAGCAATTTAATTGGGAATTGGTAAGTAATACGCTTTAAATATAGACAAACTTTATTTCATTCATAGGTACATTGTTACGCATTATTTAATTATTATTGTTATTGTGTTTGTAGAAACATGATATATTATTTAATTATAGAATCTAATTAAGACACAATAATACACAAAAATAAAAAAAAAAAACGTATATGTCTAATTAGTGGGACTTTTGACACTGAATTACTGTGGACAGTTTATTCATATCTGGAGAGTACAGTCTGTAATGATGTAGAAAAAAAAAATTGTAATAGAAATTTAATTTATATTTTATGGGTCTAGCTCTAGATCTAGAATGTTCAGAAATCGATGCTTTTTCCGAAGAGCCATAGATTGCACGTTTAAGGAGTCGCAGTTTACCGGTCCCAGTCGACGAAAAGCCACCGCGGACGGCGTGCTTCACACAATATGAAGGGCTACGGGGAAAAACGATAATAGAAAAAAGGTTCAGCTAAAATGTCCAGCGTTGCAGTTTTAAGGTTTCAGAACAATGCTAAAACCTTATTAAACCGCGTATATTTAAACCGTTTTTATATCGCTGACTGTGATCTTCATGCCCCGACTCGATTCACAGATCAATTCGGCCGGAAACAAATGATATAATTATCTTATTATATTTTTTTACACCATTATCGTTTTTCCCCGTAGCTCCTCGTGTCGGTCGGGCCGAACTCGTATCACAGGGTCTGTGCACACGCCGCCGACCGCGGAATACCTGCACGACGTTTAGACAGTCTGTCTGAACACCGTGTGACCGACCGACATCGTTGTTTGGACGTGTAATGAAATATTTCGTCCCGATCCACGGCCGTTCATAAACCGGCGGAAACGGCCGGCGATGTCCGCCGGAAGTAACAACGCGGATAATGGGCCGTTCCCCGGCCCGCGTCGCGCCACTTCTCCACGTCGTCGCGATAGGTGTCGAGAGAGAGAGAGAGAGAAAAACTAAATAGCATGGATATTAAACCGTCGTCGCATTCTCGAATAACGGGCGGGTTCCGGGTGAAATGCCGTCGCCCCCGACCGACTTATCGATTAGTAATAATAATAATTATTATTCCCCGCGTTCCGTTTCGTGTGTCAATTATTTTCCGCGTCGTTTCGCTTTCGTCGTTCGTATCTGCAATACTGCACGGCCGGCGACGACACCCTTGCAGCAGTGCCGTGCGCTAAGGACAGGGAGCCAGGGGTCATATAACGCTCCCCATCCCCGCTCCCCCGCCCACCGTTATTGGTTTTTTCATACAACAACGCGAGTATTTGTTTGATAATTCGAAAAATCTTGAAATACCAT